AGTGAAACGGTCCAACATGTGGCCAGACACAGTGAAACGGTCCAACATGTGGCCAGACACAGTGAAACATGGCCCAACATGTGGCCTCGTGGGTGACGCAGCAGCTTGACTTAATGATCTCAGCATCAGTATGGCCAGTGAGGAGAGGCGGTGCTGGTTAGAGCCCCGCCGCTACAGCACTCCCTCACTGGTTACATAACAATACAGTACTACTACATCAATACTTCGTAAATATAACTTAATTTCAATAGTAATATGAAAAATAATTTAATGTTAAACTCTCGAATATAAAGAAAATATACCGATGATTGGCGGCCCCTGAGGAGTTAGTGAGACAAACAACAAACAAATACAGTACATAAAACCTGGCGTGTGTCGGTGTGTGGCTCCGTTTTATCGGCCGGGGAGGATCACTCACAAGTTGTCTCAGCTTGTATCATCTGGCAGGAGACAGTTCCGGGTGGCGGAGCAGCTGTATCATACGTATCGGCATGTTTTATATGGCCTTTATCGGGACGCGGCCAGTAGGAAGTCTTATAAAGGAGAGGAGGATCGTTTAGGTCCGGAATATACAGTATAAGAGCCGCCGTCCTCTGATATTTGAGCAAGAGATATTTGCACGGGTCGGGTCACCCCTGCAGGCGGGTGGAAAACGACGGCATATTGCATGTACTCTAGATAGAGCCTTATATATATATATATATATATATATATATATATATATATATATATATATATATATATATATATATATATATATATATATATATATATATATAGGTCACGAGGTCACTGTTAAAGGTGAAGGTTAGAATATTTCACCTGTCAGACGGTCTAACTGTGTGTTAGTTGGGTGTTAAATACTTGTCATTATGTGTATAGTGTATGGTCGCTTATAGTGTTCATACATCAGTATACTATAGTGTAGGTAATAGTTGTAGTGGCGGGTTGTGAGTATTATTGTGTATATTAAATGGTATAATGTGTATACTGTAGGTTATGTATCTAAGCTACTGTGCCGAGTAGCAACCTTGTATATAAGCTACTGTGCCGAGTAGCAACCTTGTATATAAGCTACTGTGCCGAGTAGCAACCTTGTATATAAGCTACTGTGCCGAGTAGTATCTATGTATATAATTACGTGGCACACTGCACGTGTTATGTGGCACCATTGCCCCTCGGGGCAATGGTGCCACATAACACGTGCAGTGTATAAGGTACAGTGATATGTATAGTATACATTGACTTGTCTGTGGTGACTATACTGTATATTAACTGATGTATAGTGGCCTCGTTAACCACTTCGTTTAATGTACTGTCGTTAACCCTCTTAGCGCACCTGTCGTTAACCCTCTGTACAACGAACCTGTCGTTAACCCCATATTTAACGAGGCTGTTGTGTATATGCTGCGGCAGTATAATTCGTTATGGCCGTTATACAACCACCGACGAGCCGCTGTAATTGAAATTTCAAATTGAAAGACGTTAACGGTCATGTCAACGAACAGTATTATTATTATTATTATTATTATTATTATTATTATTATTATTATTATTATTATTATTATTACTATTATTATTATTATTATTATTATTATTATTATTATTATTATTATTATTATTATTATTATTATATGAATCATTACCAAGCCGTTGTACACTTTATTTTTATATTTTTTTTATATTTATGTAATCATTTGACCTTGGGGCTTGTATTTCTGGTATTTAATTTTGTATTTAATAAATCTTGTAAGGTTAAGATCACTTTAGCATCTTAATTCGTATCAGGTGAGGAATCATCACTATTTAACGTATAGTAATTTATTATAAAGGTTTGTCGTATTATTATTGTAATTGAATCCTCTTAATGTATAACAGATCAGTTGTTTAAGATCCTGTTAACTGTTTACTCCCGACCCTCATTTGTTTAGTGGTCGGGCTCGCTAATGTCCGCCGTGTCTTATATTTATCGTCTTGTTTCACAGTTGTTCGTGTCATTTAGCGAGATTTATACTGAGGGAAAAGTTTGCTCTTGGTCTTTTTCCGTCTTGGGGAATCACTGTTGAAGTCTTATTTTTACTTGTTAGTTAATTAAAAGATAAACGTTGAATTTAAAGAAAAACATTTATATTTAGCGAATCGATCATGATAGGTGAGGTGATATAGGTATTTCTTGAAGAGTCTAGTACTGGTACAGTGGGGTATGCTATAACGAATCTAATTGGTTCTAGAACCTTGTTCGTTATAGCATTCGTTCGTTATAGGATAAATCCGTTCCAGGCCCCCAAATATAACCACTTAACACTGAAAAATATAATATAAAATTGTAAAAATTTTAAAAAAGTGCATAAATATGCATCTAAACCCCTGAAATAAAGAATATCATTAATACTTGTATTACAAAAACAATAAATTAGTAAAAAAAAAAAAAATTTTTAAATAATGTTCGTTGTAGGAGTTTCGTTCGTTATAGCATTCTCAATTTTATAGGTAAAACCGTTCGTTATAGGAATATAGTCATGTAAAATAAGTAGTTCAACCTGTAGCATATTCTGTATTATGTAAAGGTGAGGGAGGGAGGTGGTAGGAAGGGGAGGAGGAAAGGAACGGAAGACATTGTGAGGAAATTGACGGGAACGTGTTGAGTTGACCCGGTACCTCCCCTCCACCCCCACGCCATAATGACCTGCCCACTGTATGATAATGAAGAGGGAATGACGTCGTTTGTATTCACTGCCGGTTGTCGATTTCAATTCCCGTCGTTTGGTCCTCCGCCAGGGTGTTCCTGATTACACCTCGTGCCAGCCAGCCCCCCCAAACACCCGCCAACACCACCACACGACTGACATCTAAAAAAATAAAATAAAAAAATAAATAAGTTGATGATGACGCGTGTCGGTGTATCAGCGTGGTGGGGAAGAGGCGGAGGAGGGAAGTTGGTGCGCATTTTATGGAGCGCCGCATATTGGCACTGACAACCTGTACCTGGGGAAAAATTGTGGCGGGACACACTAAGATATAAATCACGACTGTTGCCAGATGGAAATAGCTTTGGAGACATAAAACTGTCGAGAAATAAGGTTGTTTAAACACAGGTGTCGGGGAATTTAGTTACCAGCTGTACTAAGGGTCGAATGTAGTATATTTCCGAGTCATCCCCCAAGTACACCCAGCTGTGAAAGTGTACCTGGTGTTATTGTAGGTAAAATATAGACAGTTTAGTGTAGTGCCTCCCTGTGTAGTGAAGGCTGTAGCATACTGTACCGGGCGCTGTAGTCTGTCCTAAACTGACCGTCAGGCTTATGGTATCTACTTTAAGTTCTCAAATGTCAGTGCGTGTTGCTGGCTTGTGTGTGTGTTAGTTACAAGTAATATTAGTGTTTGTCAGCATCATCAGTACTTCAGACTACAGTATATCAAGTCCCAGTATAGTAATTTATTCTCAGTCCGTCTATCCATCCATCCTCCTGTCTGTCCATCTGTCTATTCATTCGTACGTTTAGAGACAGGAAACTTTTCTTTTAAGAGTCAGGAGGAAGTGGACAATTCGCTGATCATTCCTGCCTGACCTTTGTCCTTACAACCGTTTCACTTGTGATTAAAACAGGGAAACTCCATTTACTTTTATTTCTCTCTCTTCTTCTGGCGACCAATGAGCATCCTCGATATCCCCTGAGACGCGTGGATTCACTGACGTCATGGTAATAGAGGACCAATCACCACGTAGCGTACTGTGGATTAACTGACGTCATTGTAAGCAAGAACCAATCAACACCTATTTGTTCTATGGATTAACTGACGTCATGGTAATAGAGGACCAATCACCACGTAGCGTACTGTGGATTAACTGACGTCATTGTAAGCAAGAACCAATCAACACCTATTTGTTCTATGGATTAACTGACGTCATGGTAAACGAGGACCAATCATCACGTACATGACCTTATATGATTGGAAAAGAAATGGAAAAGAAATGTAAAAAAAAAAGAAGAAAACCAAGAAGTGAACTGTAGTAAATAGGTTAGTTTAGATTAGGGTCAATCCATTTTATTGTCACCTTGTTGTTAACCTTATAAATACTATATTATTTTTCCCCTCGCTGATGGTAAAAGAATGAGTCTAGTTCTTACAAAGTTTCTGTACAATTTAATAATGTAATTTTTGGTGTCGTAGTTTAAATGAACCAATAAAATTCGTTCTCCATCTTCGGCTATGGGAAAAAATAATGTTCAAATCTTAGAAAAATATGATTTTATTTATTTATTTTACGTATTAGGTCAAGTGATCTATGAAGAAAACATAACCTACGATACAACGAGAATCCATATTATGTGTCGTGGGTCAAGAGTCACATGGGTCTTATATCTCCATTTAGGAGGAATGTTATCTTGCAGTTATTATAGAATCCGGCTCTTGAAATTAATGAACTTGTTGGAGTCATTTATCGTCGTGTACACAGATGGCGCCTTGTGGTTTTTGGCTGGAGATGTTTGTATATGTCTGTGAGGACGCTTCATGGGGCAGCCAGTGTCACTCGGTCTGAGGACGCTTCATGGGGCAGCCAGTGTCACTCGGTCTGAGGACGCTTCATGGGGCAGCCAGTGTCACTCGGTCTGAGGACGCTTCATGGGGCAGCCAGTGTCACTCGGTCTGAGGACGCTTCATGGGTCAGCCAGTGTCACTCGGTCTGAGGACGCTTCATGGGGCAGCCAGTCACTCGGTCTGAGGATCGCTTCATGGGGGCAGCCAGTGTCACCCGGTCTGAGGACGCTTCATGGGGCAGCCAGTGTCACCGGTCTGAGGACGCTTCATGGGGCAGCCAGTGTCACTCGGTCTGAGGACGCTTCATGGGTCAGCCAGTGTCACTCTCGGTCTGAGGACGCTTCATGGGGGGCAGCCAGTATCACTTTGTCCGAGGACGCTTCATATGGGGCAGCCAGTCACTCGGTCTGAGACGCTTCCATGGGGGCAGCCAGTATCACTCGGTCTGAGGACGCTTCATGGGGGCAGCCAGTGTCACTCGGTCTGGAGGATCGGCCCATGGGCAGCCAGTGTCACTCGGTCTGAGGACGCTTCATGGGGCAGCCAGTATCACTCGGTCTGGAGGACGCCTATGGGGGCAGCCAGTGTCACTCGGTCTGAGGACGCTTCATAAGCAGCCAGTCACTCGGTCTGGAGGATCGCTTCATGGGGCAGCCAGTGTCACTTCGGTTCAGAGGATCGCTTCCATGGGGGCAGCGCCAGTGTCACTCGGTCTGAGGACGCTTCATGGGGCAGCCAGTGTCACTTCGGTCTGAGGACGCTTGCCATGGGGCAGCCAGTGTCACTCGGTCTGAGGACGCTTCATGGGCAGCCAGTATCACCTTTTGGTTCGAGGACGCTTCATGGGGCAGCCAGTGTCACTCGGTCTGAGGACGCTTCATGGGGCAGCCAGTGTCACTCGGTCTGAGGACGCTTCATGGGGCAGCCAGTGTCACTCGGTCTGAGGACGCTTCATGGGGCAGCCAGTGTCACTCGGTCTGGCCGTGTTTCACTTATGAACGCTCAGTTTACTTATTGATTTTTGATATATTTCACATAATAATACTGGTGGTTAGATGAACTATGTCCCGTTTAGTTTTACACATATTAACACTAATGGTTATATATAATGTTATATATCTTTATGCCAAGTCAACAATGAAAAATGAGCGCTTAATGTTTACCCTTGTTGAGCCGCACGTCTCTTGTCCATATATACGTTTGGTCTGTGACTAGTGGCCCAGGAAACCTCCCCGTCAGGCACAGGAACCTGACCAGGACACAACATCCAAAGTAGGTCACTGTGACCCTTCATTGAACCTTGGTTAAGTATGTAGTTAACCTATGTTAAGCTCACTACGTCTGTGGAGTGACCGGATATACCCAACATTATTATTATTATTATTATTATTATTATACTAATTACTTTCGTCAATTAACCCTTGAAAACATAAGTTAACATGGATTATATTTTAGGGTTTATTTATCTAACATGCCGAGATGTCTTTATATATTACTTAAAACAGTTGAGGATACGTTTGTAATTTAATATAGGGTATATGAGTTCGAGATGAGAATAATTATGATATTTTCATTTGTAATAACATCATCAATTGTTTTAGTCAATGTAAGAGGTAAATGGAGCGTGTTTATATAACTAATATTGGTGGGGATAAAAGCCTTGTTGAAATACTCGGGTGTAATGGAGTGACAGGAGCCAGGTCAGGTGTGTTTAGTTGACTGGCTCAGTTTTGTTGGCTGCCATATGGTGAGTGTGTGTGTGTGTGTGTGTGTGTGTGTGTGTGTGTGTGTGTGTGTGTGTGTGTGTGTGTGTGTGTGTGTGTGTGTGTGTGTGTGTGTGTGTGTGTGTCAGCCTTCAAGGACATGGCACTAAGACAAACTCGATTCTCTAAGATGAGTTGAGGGACACGTTCTACAGTATGTATGTATGTATGTATGTATGTATGTATGTATGTATGAATGTATGTATGTATGTATGTATGTATGTATGTATGAATGTATGTATGTATGTATGTATGTAATGTGTATCTATGCCTCACTAAGATAGGTCATACACAAGACAATAAACTGATCTACATTAATAGAGGTGCAAGACACTACTGGAACTTAATATCACTTGAAGATTAACGTAACCCAACCCAACCCTTCAGGACTTTTAAATCATGTTTAAATTCTGAGTCAGATCCACAGAAAACGGATTAGGTCAACATAAAACGGATTAGGTCAATAGAAAACGGATTGGGTCCATAGAAAACGGATTGGGTCCATAGAAAACGGATTAGGTCCACAGAAAACGGATTAGGTCCACAGAAAACGGATTAAGTCCACAGAAAACGGATTAGGTCCACAAAATGGATTAGGTCCACAGAAAACAGATTAGGTCAACAGACAACGGATTAGGTCAACAGACAACGGATTAGGTCCATAGAAAACGAACCACAGCCGCTCTGGTTAATCAAACAAGCAACTTCCCATTAAACGAACCGCGGGAGTGTTTGTACGGCAGCACATTTGTCACTTTGGACACTTCCAATGGTGCTATTATTCATCCTCTTGGTGACGAGCCTTACATTGTAGCTCTCTCTCTTTTTTTACTTTTTCTTTTTTTAGTTTCTTTTATTTGTCTGTCTCTGTCTGTCTGTCTCTCAAGGGACAGCTGTGGTGGGTGGTCTCTCAAGGGACAGCTGTGACAGCTGGGTGGTGCCTATGGGACAGCTGTGGTGGGTGGCACTCAAGGACAGCTGTGGTGGTGGTGCTCAAGGACAGCTGTGGTGGGTGGTACTCAAGGGACAGCACACGACAGCGTGTGGGTGGTGGACAGCTGTGGTGGGTGGTGCTGGACAAGGGACAGCTGTGGTGGGTGGTACTCACGGGACAGCTGTGGGTGGTGAGGACAGCTGTGTGGGGTGGCACTGACAGCTGTGGTGGTGGACCTCAAGGGACAGCTGTAATGGGTGGTGCTCACGGGACAGCTGTGGTGGGTGGCACTCACAGGGACAGCTGGACAGCTGTGGGTGGTGCTCACGGGACAGCTGTGGTGGGTGGTGCTACTCACAGTGGACAGACAGCTGTGGTGTGGTGCTCAAAGGACAGCTGTGGTGGGTGGTACCAAGGACAGCTGTAATGGGTGGTGCCTACGGGACAGCAGGTGCCTGTGACAGCTGTTATCTTGGTATCGTATTGTTATAATTGTAATTATTGCCAATGTATGGATCAATTGTGGAGTTCCGTGTGTTTATCAAAGAAAGTGACTATTATTATTATTATTATTATCATTATTATTATTCAGTCACTTCCACACACCAAGACTTGTGATGTCCAGATTCATGTCAGAAGTAGACAGGCATACACTCGCTCAGTTCGCTGGGAAAATCCAATGTGAGTAGGTGACGTGGCCCTCCCCGGTGCCAGACGTGTTCCTCCCCCGGTGCCAGATGACGGTGTTCACCTCAGGCGACAGGTGGCCCCCGTGTGGCACTCTGAATAAATGGCTCGGCCTGACACCAGCTTTTTTCTGGTGTGTGGGGGGGAGGGGGGGGGGGCAGAAAAATTAATGTGCAAACCTCATGTGTCAGGTTGTCATGATAATGGTGGTGGTAGTGATGATGATAATGATGGTGATGATGATGATGATAATGATGGTAGCGGTAATGATGATGATAATGATGGTAGTGATGATGATGATGATAATGATGGTAGCGGTAATGATGATGATAATGATGGTAGTGATGATGATGATGATAATGATGGTAGTGATGATGATGGTGATAATGATGGTAGCGGTAATGATGATGATAATGGTGGTAGTGATGATGATGATGATAATGATGGGAGCGGTAATGATGATGTTTAAACTTCAATGTTAAGAAATTCACAAATGTTCTTAACTTAAACACTACACTTATTTCCTGAACATAAACCAACATGATATAAAAATATATACAATAAATAAATAATATAAATGTCACAAAAAATACGTAAATAAATGTTTATCTATAATACCTACAAAGAGTCAACAATGTTTGAGGATCCTACAAGAAACAAGAAAATATTTAGAAAGTTATTGTAAGTATGACGTCTTTCATTATTTTATTTCTGAATTTATCTTAAAAACTCTCTCTTTTAATATATTTTGTTCTTTACTTTAACCATCTCTTTATCTCTCTCTCAGGCCAAGCTGGAGACGAAGGCGCTGAAGGCTAAGAGACCAGGGTTCTCAGAGGAACGCTACAACGAAACATCTTACTATATAGAAAACGGTAAGGTGGACTGTCTTAATCTTGAGTGATTGTATACTAGAACCTAATCTAACCTAATCTGACCTAACCTAACCTAACCTAACCTGACCCAACCTAACCTAATCTGACCTAACCTAACCTAATCTGACCCAACCTAACCTAATCTGACCTAACCTAACCTAATCTGACCTAACCTAACCTAATCTGACCTAACCTAACCTAATCTGACCTAACCTAACCTAATCTGACCCAACCTAACCTAATCTGACCTAACCTAACCTAATCTGACCTAACCTAACCTAATCTGACCTAACCTAACCTAATCTGACCTGACCTGACCTAACCTAACCTAACCTAATCTAACCTTCACCTAAATATTATTAATGGATATAGGTTAGGTTAGGTAGGTTAGTTTGATTCATTTTATTAACGATTAATTATATAATGTGATTAACTACCCTAACGTTACCTGGCTCAATTAAGGTCAAGTTAGGTTAGGTTGGGTTAGGTGAAGTTAGGTTGGCCCTTACGGTGATAATCTTTCAGGTGAAATAAACTAAGGGTGTCTCTAATCTACAGGTGAAATAAACTAAGGGTGTCTCTAATCTACAGGTGAAATAAACTAAGGGGTGTCTCTAATCTACAGGTGAAATAAACTAAGGGGTGTCTCTAATCTACAGGTGAAATAAACTAAGGTGTCTCTAATCTACAGGTGAAAACTAAGGGGTGTCTTCTAATCTACAGGTGAAATAAAATCATAAGGTTCTAATCTACAGGTGAAATAAACTAAGGTGTGTCTTTAATTCACAGGTGAAATAAACTAAGGGTGTCTAATCCACAGATGAAATAAAACTACAAGTGTCTTCTAATCCACAGATGAAATAAACTATGTGTCTAATCCACAGATGAAATAAACTAAGGTGTCTCTCTTAATCTATACAGATGAAATAAACTAAGTGCCCTAATTCACAGGTGAAATAACCAGGTGTCTAAATCCACAGATGAAATAAACTAAGGTGTTCTCTAATCTACAGGTGAATGAACTAAGGGGTGTTCCAGAATCCACAGATGAAATAAAACTAAGGGGTGTCAATCCACAGATGAAATAAAACTAAGGGGTGTCTCTAATTCACAGATGAACAACTAAGGGTGTCTTCTAATCTACAGGTGAAATAAACCAAGGGGTGTCTGTCTTAATCACAGGTGAAATAAACTAAGGGTGTTCTAATTCACAGGTGAAATAAACTAAGGGGTGTCTAATCTACAGATGAAATAAACTAAGGGGTGTCTCTAATCTACAGGTGAAATAAACTAAGGGGTGTCTCTAATCTACAGGTGAAATAAACTAGGTGTCTCTAATCTACAGGTGAAATAAACTAAGGGGTGTCTAATCTACAGATGAAATAAACTAAGGGGTGTCTCTAATCTACAGGTGAAATAAACTAAGGGGTGTCTCTAATCTACAGGTGAAATAAACTAAGGGGTGTCTAATCTACAGATGAAATAAACTAAGGGGTGTCTAATCTACAGATGAAATAAACTAAGGGGTGTCTCTAATCTACAGGTGAAATAAACTAAGGGGTGTCTCTAATCTACAGGTGAAATAAACTAAGGGGTCTCTAATCTACAGGTGAAATAAACTAGGTGTCTCTAATCTACAGGTGAAATAAACTAAGGGGTGTCTCTAATCTACAGGTGAAATAAACTAAGGGGTGTCTAATCTACAGGTAATCAGTACTCCTCACAATTCAGTCACCCACAGCTTCACCACGTATAAACACTGCGATGACAGATAGACAGACAGATAGATAGATAGATAGATAGATAGATAGACCCGCACAGGTTAACATACTAGGTGTTAACGACCCTTTAGTTAGCCAGTTGTACGTGGTGAGTGTCCTTGGTATGTTAATGTACGTGGTGAGTGTCCTGAGTATGTGTGTACGTGGTGAGATAATATGACTGTGTACGTGGTGATATAACAGTGTGTGTAAGTACTTAGTGTCATGTGTGTGTCATATGAAGCGGGGTTAAGGGGCATGTCAGGGTATGACCTGACCTGACCTGACCTGACCTGACTTGACCTAATGACAAGGGAGAAGTTACCTAATGGAATATCTTCGTTAATTATAATGATTGATAACAGTGAGGTTACATATAACTAGTATACTTGATATTTCATTATGTAATTATGTTAAGCTGTGTGTTATATACTCTGTTGTGAACGGTATTGTATTTAAGGTGAGTAAAAGAGCTAAATGCCGTTTGGGTAATACTGTAGATACAAGTCACCTCACTTTACAGCAACTTTAGGAAGGTTTTATGTATTAGATAATTTCTGTCTTGCCTCTAGAAGTCTAAAATCTATACAATTTTGGAGTGATTGCAACTTTCTTTACTCTAGGTTTCCCTAGTTTTTGGACAACACCAGTTTGCGTTATTCCTGTTGACAATAAAGTAAAATAATAAGATACCATAACCAACCAACCTAACTAACCTTAAATAATGCACTCATATCCCAAGAATGGCAGGTTAGGTTAGGTTAGGTTAGGTTAGGTTAGGTTAGGTTAGGTTAGGTTAGGTTAGGCTAGGCTAGGCTAGGCTAGGCTAGGCTAGGCTAGGGAGGTTTGGTTGGTTTATCATATATGTACAATAAACATCTCTACCCCTGGGGAAGAAGAGGCACTACTCGGGAATGAGTATGGAACACCAGCAAGGTAAATTCGCCTCTCTGTCTGACAACTACCACTCTCCTTCAGTGTGTTCCCTGGTGGTAATATCTCTCCCTTCCCTCCCTCTCCTCTTTCTACAGGTTTGAGGAAGGTGTATCCGTACTACTTCACCTTCACCACCTTCACCAAGGGCCGCTGGGTGGGAGAGAAAATCCTCGACGTCTTCGCCAAGGAGTTCCGAGCACACCCAGCCGAGGAGTATGTGAGTATTTACCTTATTGAGGGTGAGCTTATGAGGGTGAAGGTCCAGCTCCAGGTAGTCCTCACCAAAGACATTTTCAGTACAGTATTAATGCATTTATTCTTATTTTGATTATGAGACATAGCTGAATCAAATACTGTACTTTTATAAGATTATTTTCTTCCCTGACCACCTGTCCTAAAGCAGTTATAGGTATATTATTTTTATGTTCACCCAAAGAACAAAATTCTTCATTGGAAAACTAATAAAGCTAATTAAATGGTTTACCCCTTCACTATGAGGAACAACACTTTTAATGTTATATTCAGTTCAGAGACGACACTGTACATAAGGGGTTAATATACTTGTCTACACCCAGGGAACAATACTGTACACCTTTAATTAAGATAATCACCTATGGAGTCTGGTTGAGATATTAACACTAAATGCATCATTCTTCCTAGGAGCTAAATTACTCACTTAACATTCTAATTAAGAGTTTAATTCTTTACATATATTGCTTTCTGAACCACAAAAGAACAGTATATTAATATTTAGAATAATCACGTGTTAACCATGAGACATTCTTTGCAAAAATCTCTTCAAAATATTAACTTGTGTCTGTCCCATAGGAGCGGTGCATCAAGAGCGGAACACTGACTGTCAATTATGAAAAGGTGGACACAGACTACCGCCTCAAGCACAACGACCTGCTGGCCAACATCGTGCACAGGTACCCAACCTCGCCCCCTCAGGCCGTCTGCTGCTACCTGTTACCTCATCTGACTTAGTGGGGCTAAATTAGTCCCCAGAACCTGACCCGAGTTTTTATGCCAAAACTATAGATTTGATTAGGTTAGGTCAGGTCAGCTTCTAGGTCCAAGGACTAATAAATACTACACTAGGCAAGACATATACATTCAGCTCCCTTGGGTTAGCTTACATGAAATTACTCTGGGTTAGGTTCAATTAAGTTAGGCTGGGGTAGCTTTCAACAGGTTAGACTGGGTTAGGTTAGGTTAAACTAAGCTTGGTTAGGTTAGGTTAAACTAAGCTTGGTTATGTTAGGTTTGTTTGGTAAGGTTTTAAGTAAGAAGGTGGTGGAGAGTGAGGGAAAACAATTATCGTACTGACAAAAAGAAAAATGTTTCAGATACTCCATGACTCGAGGAAAAAAAAATGATAGCTCAGTCTTTAATGAACTTTGTGCATTAGAGAAGAACAATTGAAGACCTTGGTTTATATAAGTTGATATAGCTTAAAAGATATTAGGTTTGGTTAAGAGCTGATCAGTGACAGAAAGGATAAAAGTACAGTAGAAGATTATGATAATTTTGAGTTTGAGGAAAAAAAATGTTAATTGTTATAAGATAGATGAGCAGATATTGTTACAAAGTGAGATACAGTATAAATACACTTCCTTTACTTCTAGTTATACTGGTTATTGGTAGTTAAATAGCTCATGGTATAATCACAGTGTAGATGCATGTATGTGAAACTGCTAGTAGATGACACAGTGCCTCTCTCCATGGCTACTTGGGTTCAATCCCAGGGAAGATGTGAGAAGAGTGTTATCCTATGTCATTTAACTGACTCTCATAGGGTAACTTTAGGCACTCCTGTGTTAACACTGACCCAGGCAGGACAAACTCATCTGACACAATACAAGGGGAGGGAGGGGGGTTAATTAAGCAAACTACTTTCAATACTTCCTTTCCAATGACAAATTTAGAAGCAAAATAGCATAATTATTTTTTTTGCCAGGGTTAGCATTGAATTCATAGCCTTTATCAAGAATAAGATACAGTATTGTCTTAGGATCTGATTACATACCATTAAAGTTCTTATATAACCATTTGTGTATTAGATTAAGTTGTTTATGTGTTTCTGCTCATCTATCGGGCTAAGAGGGTCCCTGCTACCCCACCTAGATGGGAGAGAAGTTACGTGATGAGAGTAACACAAAATGATAATATATAATGTGGTCAGTGTTAAGAAAAACATTACACCAAATAGCACTGCTCTTATTTAATTTGAAATTGTTTTGACATGAACTACAATAGTCAAACCATACCTATTGTTTCAGGAAGCTATTATTTACCTTATGCATATAGTCTGAATAAAAAACAAATTGATAGTTGCTATTTGTTGTACATTTTTCTAACATTGACAATTGTGTTGTTGCTTACTCATAGTTGGGGGAATTTTGTGAGATAGTCAGTGTAATCATATTGTGAGATAGTCGGTGTAATCATATTGTGAGATAGTCAGTGTAATCATATTGTGAGATAGTGTAATCATATTGTGAGATAGTTAGTGTAATCATATTGTGAGATAGTCAGTGTAATCATATTGTGAGATAGTCAGTGTAATCATATTGTGAGATAGTCAGTGTAATCATATTGTGAGATAGTCAGTGTAATCATATTGTGATATAGTCAGTGTAATCATATTGTGAGATAGTCAGTGTAATCATATTGTGAGATAGTCAGTGTAATTATATTGTGAGATAGTCAGTGTAATCATATTGTGAGATAGTCAGTGTAATCATATTGTGAGATAGTCAGTGTAATCATATTGTGAGATAGTCAGTGTAATTATATTGTGAGATAGTCAGTGTAATCATATTGTGAGATAGTCAGTGTAATCATATTGTGATATAGTCAGTGTAATCATATTGTGAGATAGTCAGTGTAATCATATTGTGAGATAGTCAGTGTAATCATATTTTAATTAATTTTTGGGTCTGCTTATAAGAGCAGGCAATACAGTATTAGACATTATAATGATGAGTGAGAAGATTCTGGTTAGTGAGTGAAAACTGAATTGTTTTTTTGTTTTTTTAAATATACTTGAATTTGTTTTGACAAGAGAGAGGTGTGTGTGTGCGTGCGTGTGTACATATATATGAGTAGGTGTCACTGATGTTAGCTTTCATGTCTGGTTGATGTCATGTGCACAAGATACAGTTAGGTGGGGAGAAGACATGAATGGGTAAAAGGGGAGGTCATACCACACCCACCACCTCCGTGTGGGCGTGTGTGGTTGAGCTGCAGGTGTGAGCGTCGTTGGTTTCAGGCACGAGGTCCCCGTGACGGCTGAGCAGATTCCAATCGTGCACGTGGACGAAGACTTGGTAGTGGTGGACAAGCCTGCCTCCATCCCTGTAAGTCGTCAACATACTCGCCCACCACTGCTGCCGTATAGATCTAGACCACTTACTCCCACGCCCCACATCTCACCTCACGGTCTCAAGGGTCGTCATGTGTCTCAATCAGGTTTATTGCCTGGGACACAGAATTTAAATTGAGCATAGTTGGATGGCGGTTTCTTAAAATTTTAAATAATTGACTGGAAATTTAGTCTATTTAGTAGATAAATAATTAATAGTAGGTAATGTGAGGTGAGGTACTAGTGGGTGCCGAATCCCAACCAGCACTTCGCTCAGTCCCAGATCCTCTATGTCGTCCCTGCAGCAAAGTTCCCTCTTCCCCTTGCAGCATAGACCTCCTCTGCAGCAAAGCCCCCAACTTGTGCATCATTTACCCACTATACACCCGCACACATGCATGTTCCTTCACCCAGAGGCAATCGGACTTTTTTCTGCCTGCTTCAAAAATATTTTTGTGGCCATGGAATTCCTATCACAACCTTTTTAAGAACCCTGGACTATCATGGTCAGAGTATATTTTGAAGGGGTTAGTTAAGTTTAACTGTATGCAGATCTTGATGATTCTCAGCTTGAAAGTTCTGAGACATGTATGATATTAATGTCTATTAACCAAGATTTGCTAAACAGGTCAACAGAGTTAAAAAAAAAATAGACTTCATTGCAAACTCAATGGTCCCAAAAGTTGTTTGTCAAGTTTAATGAACTTATTTAACATGACATCATTATTGGATCTGGGTCTTCGAGCGAGGTGGCGAGGGGGCACGGCGAGGGACCCTCCCCTCCCGTTGTTGCTAAACTTGTGTTTTCAGAGTGTTGGTGGCCGTCGCAGATTAACTGGATGTGTGTTGCAGTCGTCAATAGCTCGCGTTATGCATTCACAATAATAGATCAGTGCCTATGTTTTCTAATATATTGTTAATATAGATGCTAAACGCAGTCGTGTTGTGATTGCTATTGCAGACATGAGACGCCGGTGTTAGCGCGAAACATTGCAATATTACATTTAGATGAGGATTTGGTCGTTCTCGACAAGCCATGTTCCCTGCCGGTGAGTAGTAGCGGCGAGCTTTAACCCGGCTACCTAGCTAGCTGCCTGCCTAGTGTAGCAGGGGTGGGTGTGCAGGACCCCCACCCCCGGCATGGTGTGGTCAGCACTTTCCAGGCCACGGGGTATCCAGGCACTCGTGCGTTTGCCACCTTGCTGTCCGCATAATGAGCACAACGCTCTCAGCGGCACCCCAAGTCTTCGACAGCTCCACAACGTCCTACAGAGCATAGACGTTCTAACAGCGCAGCCGTCCCTATGATGGCGTAACAGACTAAACCGTGTGAAATATACCCCCCCCCCATAAATGGCTCAGGCGTGCACTCATCAAATTCACTGATCGTTTACAAGTTATCGCGTCAGCTTTTAACTAAATACATAAATAAATTAATGAGAAGTTCCATTTCTAAAGCATTTTATACATTCTTACATCCACCTTGGCAACAGCCTCCACCACAATAACCTATAGTATATATTTATATATACATTTATTTATTGTATATGCATATCACCTTCCCTTGCTCCTCCACCCCCCGTCCCCTTACACATCCTACGCTTCACTTTTTAGATTTCTATTTATATTGTATTGCCGTGCCTTAGCTTTCAATATTGGTCATCCTCTGTAAGTTCACATGCGTGAATTTGGCCCTTGTTTTATTTTACTCCCGATCCCTGTATTCCCTGAAGGAGCTGTTAGTTGGACCCTTATGTCATGGAGCTGTTCCCAGTCATTCCTGAAAATTTTATGTTACTGACTTGTGATGCATCAGCCAACCCAGATAGCCTTGAAACCTCCCTTCTTGAATTGGATCCTCTGCACCACCATTGTTACAACCTCCTGGTTCCTGGCACACATGCGATTGGCTGCCCGACCCCAATTTTGGCCCTTTATTTTTATTTTATATTTTTTAATCCGTCACATGGCTATAGCATGATTATATAACCTTTGTATTTTAGGTACCATGGCAGTATATACCGGTACTTGCACCCTTGATTTGCTGTTTATTTTATGTTTGTTTCAGAACTGTTTCCCAGAGTGGACCTGGCCCAACATGGCAAGCCAAGGAACCATAAATATTTTTATTTTTTTTTCAAATTCCAATGATTTTCCCTCATTTTGTTGTATTGTATATTGTTTTCTAAATAAGATGATAACTTGCGTTCTCCCTGGCACGAGTGATCATTAAATAGTTTTTCCTATTATCTCTTGAATCCTTTCTATTTAAATTCCTGGTTTTTTGTAGATTTGCACAGTTGCACCTGTTTGTTGTGTGAATTGCAGGTTTTGTAGTTTTGGTCCCTTTACCCTTATATACTGTACTCTAAAACACTGCCAAGTTGCAAGCTACACAGAACCAACTGGTGGATAGGACCAACCTCATTCTGAATGTTGCAGACAACTTATTTACTTGGTCAAGACACACAGCAGTTCACTTTCTATATAATTTGACCAAGACGTTCAAAATTAACTCACTTGATTGTGTGAGCGAAAAGATTAAGATTATTTTCACCCGAATATATAACATTGATGAAGCAGTTCATTGATATTTTTTTTTCCTATCTCTTGTCTTTTTTCCATAAGTGTTGAATCGCTTATTCTGGTATATGATAATCACTGGTAATCATCATGCTTCTCATCAGAATAATATTGTCATCACTTTCATAATCGATGGTATGTAAAGTATTCTTCTCATCTGTGCTCATCTGATGTGTCAGTTTGGACAACCAGGCGTACGTTGGCGATGAAGATGGTCTTCTGATGGCTGCACATAGGCCACATCTTCATCAGCTGAATGTCTTAAGAAAGTTCGCAGCCACTTACACCACACCTGCTTACCCTCACCTTCCTACCCTCACCCTCCTACCCACACCCTCCTACCCACACCTTCTTACCCACACCCTCCTACCCTCATCTTACCTACCCTCACCCTCCTACCCACACCCTCCTACCCACCCCTTCCTACCCACACCCTCCTACCCTCACCTTCCTACCCACACCCATCTACCCTCACCCTTCTACATTCATCCATCTACCCTCACCCTTCTACATTCATCCACCAACCCTCACCTACCTACTCTCACCCTCCTACCCACATCCGCCCTTACCCGCTTGTCTAAACCTATCCTGACAGTGAATAGTTTACGTTCTGCGAGTACAGTACTGTAATTCTCTCCTGGTTCATCCACTTTCACTCTTATCTGTCTCTTCCACACTCAGCCGTATCCACCTAATCTACAGTCAGCCATATCCACCACAGTTGGCCTTATTACACCACAGTCAGCTTTATCCACCTCATGTACAGTCAGCTATATCCACCACGGCCAACATTATCCACCACAGCCAACATTATTCATCACAGCCAACATAATCCACCACAGCCAACATTATCCACCATAGCCAACATTATCCACCACAGCCAACATTATCCACCATAGCCAACATTATCCACCATAGCCAACATTATCCACCACAGCTAACATAATCCACCACAGCCAACATAATCCACCATAGCCAACATTATCCACCATAGCCAACATAATCCACCACAGCCAACATTATCCACCACAGCCAACATAATCCACCACAGCTAACATTATCCACCACAGCTAACATAATCCACCACAGCCAACATTATCCACCATAGCCCAACATTATCCACCACAGCCAACATTATCCATCACAGCCAACATTATCCACCACAGCCAACATTATCCACCATAGCCAACATTATCCACCACAGCTAACATAATCCACCACAGCCAATTTTATCCACCACAGCCAACATTCACCACAGCCAACATTATCCACCAGTCAACATTATCCACCACAGCCAACATTATCCAACAGTCAACATTATCCACCACAGCCATTATCCACCACAGCCAACATTATCCACCAGTCAACATTATCCACCACAGCCAACATTATCCACCACAGCCAACATTTTCCACCACAGCCAACATTTTCCACCAAAGTCAACATTATCCACCACAGCCAACATTATCCACCAGTTAACATTATCCACCACAGCCAACATTATCCACCACAGCCAACATTATCCACCACAGCCAACATTTTCCACCAAAGTCAACATTATCCACCACAGCCAACATTATCCACCACAGCCAACATTATCCACCAGTTAACATTATCCACCACAGCCAACATTATCCACCACAGCCAACATTATCCACCACAGCCAACATTATCCACCAGTTAACATTATCCACCAGTTAACATTATCCACCACAGCTAACAAAGTTAACAGTACTGTACCATTCCCTCAGCTTCATGCTCTTCACTGTTGTTGTCATTGATGTTAACCACAGCTAATCTCGGCACTGTACTGTACTGTAGCCGTCATCACCACTCATCATCGTCCCTGCTTCACCCTTTGTGACCTCAGCTCGGTTTGGCTGACTCAAATTTTGACCCCACAGGGCTGATGGGCTTCATGACCTGAAAGATATGAACAGTAAGTAAGGTCAGTTAGTCTTTAAAGGCAACTTTTCCTGGCATACTAATGACAAGAGAGCTTGTTTCATCCAGCTCTTCTGTACTGTACTTCTCCCCACAAGAAAGGGCTTTTTCTGCCACCCGATTGCCGTTGATATAAGAATTAACTTTTATTCTGTCTAAATCCTCAATAAAAGATTTTTGAAATCTGAGGACCTCTAAATTGCTTCTGTCACTAGGATTTAAGTGCCCACAGACGTCTGCGTGACCCGACCTGACCTTCTCTTCTTGGTGTCGCATGGGTAAACACGTTACCAAGTTTTTAGACTCACATATTGTTAGTATGATGCGGCATGTACATGTGCAACAGTTTAGAGGTCAGCCTTCTTGCAGCAATAACTGAGAACAAACCTTGTCTCAGCATCTAATCAAGACTTTTAACTAAATAAACACTTCTCATCACAAGAGTGAGCTCTGTTAACACACAACAACTACTGTAAGATAGTCAGCACACCACAGTCACTCAGTAACTCTAAAGGAAAAACTCCACTAGTAGTTTAATTGACATTTGTTTAAGTTATTTCTCTTCTCTTTTTTTTTTCCTTTATGGTGAAAGCAGTATGTCCACTCAGTAATGTATCACGGCGCCTGGTTAGCACAGACTGACACTAGAGACCCCCCATGACATCATCCATCATCCCTGTGTAAGTTGCTCATTCCTCTGCTGCTGTACTGTACTTACTCTGGCGTGTCTGTTTACTGTAGCTTCACTGCTCTGGAACTATTGTGTCTGTCTTCACTTACTTTAATTTACAAATATCTCTCTTTCTTTCTTTTTCAGTCATGTGTTTGTTGATTACTGTATCAGATTTTGATGGTAGCGGGTCCTCCTTATTTCTCATTTTATCTGTTTACCCAATGATATGTATTTATCTTACTCCGTACTTTTCTTACATCTCCAACTGTGGTCATTTTTTCCCTCTACTGAATTTGCCATGTTTTTTGTCATCTGTCTGGCACTGTCTTTTTTATATATTTATGTCACTATTCATATAATGATGTGTGTGGCTCTTATTCATTCATCGTTTGAGCTTCCTCCTTATTTCTCCTCTAAAGCTCTCCATCTGCCAAAAGTATCTAACCCATGTCACATTTTTTATAATAACTAAGAAGCCTGTAATCATCACACACCTAACATTTGAATTAAAGGAATTACAATCCTTGCTCCGGGTTGAGTACATACGACCTACACGTCATGGAGTTTCTGAGTGTCAGTTCTTAAGTAACTCACTGAAATCAACTTTGTAATACTATATGAGATTGACTAGAAATAAATAATTTGAACTATTTTTTTTTTTCTCACACAGTAAGAGAAATGATCTATACAATGATGGTAGTACAGTGTGAGATACTTAAGAGTTGAGACCATGTTTGTACTTGGTCATGACTGCCCCAGCACCACAACATAGGAGCTGTGCCAATGTACACCTCATAGCACCCCTGAGATGATATAAACAGATCACTAAAGCAACATTTTCCTGGAGACAGAATGTTTTGTGTTCTTCTCTGCATATTAATTCTTCATTAGTCAAACTAACATTGTATTTTTAATATCAGATTTCTAGGAATGTTTGAATACATATTTAGCATTCTTTTTTCTGGGAAAATGAGGCTGTACTGTATTTTGATAACCAGCCTAATTACTAAAGGTTCTCACCCGCCAGTATTTTGGTTGTGACATTGCCACCTCCCCGTAAGTAACACTGGTGAGAGAGCTGGTCCTCCACATACCACAGCGCGTCAGTCGAAGGCTACCATTTTCTGGTTTGGTGGAACTAAGTACAGAGTGACTGGACCATCTGTGGTAGGCTGTCATTTTCTTCTTACTTCCACCAAATTACCACCCGTGCCTTCGTCAGCCCCAGTGTGTACACGTTAGATGTGTAGAGACACGTGGCAGTGAAGCGCACGGGTCGAGAAAGGTAGCCCGAATCCCTGAGGCTGTTGTAGACGTGCCCGTGGGCTGTCGCCTGCTGTGACCAGGCCTCCTCCCCTGCCCCTCCCCACTCACTGATGGTGGTGACTGTTGTTGTCCCCGCGTTCAGGTGCACCCGTGCGGCCGCTACCGACACAACACGGTTGTCTTCATCCTGGCCAAGGAGTACAATCTCAAGAACCTCAGAACCATCCACCGCCTTGATAGACTCACGAGCGGTAAGTTGGCGACCCTCCCATCCTGCTTCTCTCATGTATATATCTTGTCATACTGTACTGTTATGTTTCATGACACATCAGCCTCCCATCCACTCCCCACCCACCACTACAACCCCGCGCTTCCACATCAGGCTTTCTGAACGCTGAGGATCATGAAACTTCCCTCAGAACCACCTAGCTTTCTTATTTTAACACTTGTGTAAATGTCTCTTGAGTTACTGACACATTAACTAACATCTACGGTAAAACATTCCGCAAGTTGACCAAGTTCACATTGTCAACGCACTTGCTATTGTTTGGCGAGATGCTTCCTCTGGTACAGTACACACCAGAGCTAAAAAGCAATGTTATGTAGTTTACTATAAAAGAAAAAAGTGTGAGTGCCATTTTCACAACACAGCAGACCCTTAACCTCTCTTCAGTATGGTAAAGAACTCATAAGTTATACTGTATAATATTCCACAATTTTCACTTCCCCTTTTTTTTTCCATAATCTCTGTCTCCGTTTCCTCCAGCTTTTGGATCTATGAATCTTCTGACAACTTTCTCATACATGTTACTCTTCTCCTTGATCAACCCACAGTTGCTGAGTTCTACTGCTATACAGTACTACCTCATCATCTTACATACTCATGCCATCATCCCTAATGTAGTCCTAATTTAGTAACCAGAATATTAATGCTTATTTCAGTTTTCTGTAATATCATTCAGAATATTAATGCTTATTTCAGTTTTCTGTAATATCATTCCATTCCACTGCAATTTCTGTAGCCTAAGTTTGATGTTCAGGAAAATTAGTTTAAGTAAGAGTATTACAGGGGCGGATCCAAGGCTTAGTTCAAGGGTGGTGCACCAGGTGTTGTGTGGAGGTGGTCAGCTGTTAATAGTTGAACATCATTGTATGTTGATATACAGGTACTGTACTGTACTGTACTGTACATACATTCTTAATCAACAGTTTACAGAATAATCATGCCTGTCATTATTGTATATTAAATCAAGGCAATATGATATTGAACCTAGAGTGTAATTATTGAGAATTAATGATTTGTGGGAATAATCAATGAGCAACTGGTGAAGCCTTGCTGGATCTGCCCCACTACATCCTCACAGTAATGATGAATTAAACAGAATGTATTGCTGTTAATCATCCATCTGTGTACAAATAATCTTTTTCCAACTTCAGGTTTTATCGTTTTAATTTGGTTTCTGTAGGTTTGTAAGGCCTGCCAGTATCTTGTACTGTACTATTAAGGCAGTTTATGTAATACAGTACTGTAAATAGTTCAGGCAGGTACAGTGTTAGTCAAATATTGAAAGTGTTAGGTTACAGTTTCATTTGTGTGAGAGAGAGAGAGAGAGAGAGAGAGATAATGCATTACCGTAATTATGTTTAGGTTAGTAGATAAAGAGCCGCTACTTCTACTGTCTTGGGCTCGTCCTGTCTCCTGCAGAACACCTCTACAGACACCATGAAGTACTGTATGTGAAGTACTGTGCTGCACATCTTGACTAACCAACTTACTGACCGAGATAACTTTTGACCCACTCATTAACGCCATCGCCAATCTTGTTTTTCTTTATTACGGTTGAGGAATGTAGAGAGATTTTTTTTCACATGTAGTTGATAGACATACATCTCGTAGCATTCAGGACTCCGGTATGGTGATGTTGTTAGCTGTAAACACTTCATCCTCTTGGACACTAAGTTTGAAGTGTATTACGGTTTATCCCTAACTTGTGTTTTATTTATATTTTCCCAAACTTAAAACTGTAACGTCTTCCTTAAGCCCTTCATTACGGGGATGCCATTTTTAATATTTGATTTGGTTAACGTCAGACAGGAAGAGGACCCTGTACACAAGAGGTTAATGAAATATCTCCACTAACACCTTTACTATAGAGAGACAAATTTTGATATTGTATTTTTCTAATGCAAAACGATTTTGTTCATCAGAGAGAGACACTCTTACACAAAGGGTAGAATTTTACTCTACAGTCAGTTCTGCTATAACGCGATAGTTGTGTTCTTGTAAAACATCGTGTTATAGAAATTCGCGTAATAGAAATAACAGGGCTTATGGAGAAAATAGGGTTAGGTGCAGATTACTCGAAATCGAAAAAAAATTTAGTAGTTAGCCTAACACAAAGGATAGCACAGTCTAAATAAATGTTACATTCATATTTAATCATGAAATCATACAGTAAATGTCACACTTAACCTTGAAAAAATATGAATATAACTTGATGGGGAAGAAGGGTGATTTTGAGGTTGATAACATCGAGCTTCTCTTCAAGGGTTATAGCCTTTCTTTTACGATCATCACCGGGAATGCGATCACTAGAACGCTTCTTGGAGATATTCTTCTTTACCATATTCACAGTTAATACAGTGGGGTATGCTATAACAAATCTAATTGGTTCTAGAACTTTGTTCGTTATAGCATTCGTTCGTTATAGGAATATTCGTAGTAGGATCCGTTCGTTATAGCATACCCCACTGTACCACAAAATTGGAGAAATAGTAAGCAAAAATCGTGTGACAGCAAACAAGCGTTCGCGTTATACAAATATCGTTCCTCTATTCATAAATCGCATTAGAGCCAATTCGCGTTGTCAAAACACGCGTTATAGCAGAACTCCCGCTACTTAGATAGCTTATATAACACAACTACCCTGTGCATCTATACCTGTTAGCTTTACCTCTCTTGTCATCCCCTACTTGAATATTAGTTTCTGTCTCACATTACTGATTATTTAACCATTTAGTTGTCATTATAGTTCACTTCATCATAATAAAACTCTCCCTTATCTCTCATGTTTTAACTACTAACCAGATTTACAAAACAACAAAATATATCAAGTTTAGCAGGACTTCTCTTGGCATTCCTCTGTTGCCATACACTGCATAATTGGTTCCTGAAAATGATGGCAAAAAATAAGTAACAAATGTGTATACAGTAGTACAGTATAGTGTTCAAATAATAGCATAAAACTTCTTACATACATTGGTCATTGTTTTAAAATTATCACCCCTATTGATGTAAAGTCTTTCTTGTACTGATTAATTTAATATGATGATTAAAATGTTGTGTAGGTTAGGTCAGATCAGGTCAGGTGTGTGTGTCAGGTCTGAGGGACAGTAGACAAGGAATGGGATATGTCCATCTACCTTGGTGATGGTTAAATGGGGTATATATCTCTCTATCTCTAAGCCTCCTTCAAAAAATAAATAAATCACCAAGGATTGTAAGAAGCTTTGTGTCTAAGTACAGTTACAAGTTCAATTTATAAAAAAAAGTTAGCGTACGAGCCAGGAATTGGAGAAGATCATACCTTTGTCTCCAGGAAGCTAACTCATACCATGTAGGGTAAGGAAAGATTGAGTGAGAGATGGTGTGTGTTTGTGTGTGTGTGTGTGTGTATGTTTTATTACAAGCATATACCCATGTATCCAGAAGTCATTGAGAAGTTCCCAAAAGTGTTGTACTAGATCATTAATGCAAACCAGAATTAATTATCCTCTACAGTACATGATTGACTAATACACCCTCATCAGTTATGGTCCGGCAGGTAACTAATTATTATTTTGTTTATTTGGTTATTTGTCCTATATCCATCTTTTGGGGTTTGTATCTGTCACTATATGGTGAACATGATATATCTATTGTATCATCCTAATAATGGTGAACATGATATATCTACTCTATCCTAATAAACATCATAATTATATCATTCACAAGATTACTTCAACTTTGTGATACAGTCATCATCCCAGTTATCATATTTGATGATGATTCGCACTAAGTTATTTTCTTAATCATGTTAATACTGTACCTGTATTCATGAAATTTTGTGTGACTGATAATGACAAATTTTTACAGGACAGTTGTGTGTTGTACCCTCTGACAACGATATAAAATACTGTACTGTATTTAGAAGGTTTTTAGTAACTGCATGACATATTGGTGACTGTTCCCTGGTGTATCTGGAGAGTTGGACCTCTGTATAACAATGGCACTTCATAATGACTCTTTGAATTGTAGGTAGTTAACAGATCTTGCTGGTGGTGCCTGGCCATGAGTGATGTAAGACTTGTGTTACCCTCCATATATACTGTAATGTACTCTGGTCCAAGTATACACTACTGTACTCTGGTCCAGGTACTCTACTGTACTGGTCCAGATACAGTACTGGCAGTCGTGTCATTAAATTCTTTGTCACTGATTTGATGCCAGCTTTTAATGGCACACTTAAACATCAGTTATATTATGCACAGCCATTGATTAATTTAATTCTGATAAACTGGTACTGGTATAGATTGATTAGGGAATAAAATTTGTAGCTTTTTAATGTAAATTCCTTTCTCTTGTCATGTGTAATAGCTGTACAGTTTAATTTGAAAGCAATAAGTGCAATTGTACAGTGTTCTCAGACTTTAATTAATCAAATGCTTCATAATTGCTATTAGCTTGGCCCACTGAACAGTTTAATGGTGCATAAAGCACTTGTGAATGACAATATATATCACAGTGTGGGAGCAGTAGTGCTGTACATTATCTAAACATACAAGTGTCCTTCAGGCCTCCTGCTGTTTGGACGGACACCGAAAAAGGCTCGCGAGATGGAACAACAGATACGGACTCGCCAGGTGACAAAGGAATACGTCTGCCGTGTAGAAGGAGAATTCCCAAGGTATGACCAGAAAATTATTAATGATATTAGATATTTTGTAAATGTTATGTCATAGACCATATCCCTCTCATGCAGTAAGCTTAATGTGAACAGATATTGGCAAATTATAAAAGGATTTTTTTTTTTTACCACACTTTCACACATCATCTTGCAATCCATTGTTGGTAGGCTTGTGCTTGATCTGCCTTGACAACAACATTAATCTCTCAGTACTGTACTGTATTGTGTTTACTTTAACAAGGCCAGAGTGAAGGTACAGTATTATATAGTTAGTCTTAGTGTAAATTTTGATGCTTTTTATTTATTTATTTTATTTTTTTGCTTAATTTTTGTGCCTCGACTCATCTCATATGACCAGGTACTGTCTTACCTCTTTAGTTGCTGTAGCCTTAATGAGTCTGACCCCTGGATCAGTGCATTGGAAGTCAGCCAGTACAGTATTTATGTTTTTAGCAGAGTGTTTGTCTTGATCTGATTGGTTCGTTTCATGTTCAGAGAAACTTGGTATCATCTATGAACGTAATTGTTCCCTACATTTTTGTCATGATGCACATAATTTTAATTAATGGCTTCCCCTTCCACCCATTCTGTACTCTGGACTTTGGGTTAATTTAGAGAGATACTGTTGCTGGATTTCTGGAAAAAGGGTCCTGGTTACTCAAACTAGTGGCCCTCAGGACTAAAGTGTGTCATCCTTTACACTTGGTGATGCAATACACAAGTCCTTCAGACATGTTTCTTTATAAAATTGAAATTCATGAAGAAGAAAACAAATTCTGTCAAGACAAGACCACATGATGTGAATATTTTTTTTTTTTTCAAAGCTACTGCCTAAGACTGAAGAGTTAAGCATTACTAATTATTTAATGGTGTACAGTATTAAGGTTAGGCTCACAAGTAGCACTGTGTCCACTGTCCTCCATGGCTATTAGAACTCTACAGTCAGTACAGTCTAAGCTCATGTACATACATCCACAGATTTGTAAACTGCATGTATATTGAACCCCATGTGCTTATTGACACTTTGCTTGCTTTTTTTTATACTTTCCACCACTTATCAGCTTGTTAACTGTTAGGTCATTGGTCTTTTCTTTGTTATGACCTTCATTGTTAGTGCAGGATGAACCAGAGTACCTAAAGAAAATGGGGATGTTTGGTAGAATCACACTGGATAACACCCTTCTCTCTTCCAACCCAGGGATTGAACCCTCAGTGCAGTGGTGAGAGGCAAGTGCACTACCCTTGGCTCTTTCTCATGGGTCAAAGCTGATTATCTTTACTGCATATTTTGCATTGTGAAAGATTATTTAATTAGTCCACCAAGTTAGATATCTTAGCGCTGGAGTACGATGACTTAAACCCTTTAATACAATGACAATCCCTTGAATATGATGTCTTTACCTGAAAACAATAGCTTTATCCCTTTAGCAAGATCACTTCAAAACATTGGGGATTAAGTCATTGTACTCAAGGGGTTAAACTAAGAAATTAACGAAATGTTTTTAGAGTTGGCAGGAGTGACTCAGGAGACAACATTATCTCATGTTGTTGATGACTATACTGTAATTGGCTTCTTTTCATTATACATTTTATACTTGTTCATTATTCATGTTTTACTGGGATTAAATACTCAGGTTTTTACAATGTGAATAAGATTTAGAAAAAGGATTGTTAGAACATTCAGAGATGGCAGGAATCTAGGTAAGATATTTATGTGACTTGCTGGTATCATCCAGGAGCTTCATTATTTGCTAATATTTCATAATTTTGTCATTATTAGAGGTAATACTATGGTGAAATTAATGACTGATCTATGTACATCCTGTATATATTAAGAGGATGTTGACTGTATGCAGAAAAAAACATTTATTTTCTGTCATTTTGAAATAATTGTTAGCTGACCAGGTGAGCCATTGTGTTGCACCTCATATGTTGGACAACTTTTTTCCTTTTTAAATAGTAAACTTCATGGTAACTAATGTCTTGTACTGTATTTTCATTACAGCTTTTGTTACTTCATTTCCTGATTAAAAAATTTTCATGATTTTTGTAAAATCTTGTGAGCTTTGATTTGCTGTACCTAAATTTTTGTTTGAATTTTAAAATTTATAATACAGGAATTTGCTTGTTTTTACTCCAGGTTTCTTCTCAAATTAAATTTGTTTTCTTGGTTTAATGTTACTAACTTTGCTCGTTCAACAGGGAACATATAGAGTGTAACGAACCCATAGAGGTGGTCAGCTACAAAATTGGTGTATGCAAAGTGTCACCCACTGGGAAGGACTGTCGCACGGAGTTCCAGCGTCTATCCTTCAACGGCAAAACTTCAGTAGTGCTGTGTCGCCCCCACACTGGTCGTATGCACCAGATCCGTGTCCACCTTCAGTATCTGGGTGAGTTGCTATTAAGGCTTGACATCTTAAGAGTATTTAATATACTGTACTGTGTTGATTTCTTGTCCCGAATGTTAGAATGCCTTCAGCTGCCTAGTTTATACTATAGATGGGCAAGGGGTAATCTAATAAAGATTTTATAAGCATCTCAAAGGACACTGCTCAGTCAAGTGTTCATATCTGGAGGTAGAGGCTGCCCTCCCCAGTAGGAATCACAACCTCTAGTTAAAGGAACCACGTGTACTAAAAATTGTCAGAGCTAACTTCTTTGGGGTAGGAGTTGTAAACTCCAGAGTGTGAGCTTATTTACATATACTTGACCAACAATGGCAGGTGTTCTGGTACAATCTAGAGCTGGTATATGCCCATTACTTACCAACAGTACATAACAGAAAAATGACCAACCACCCAACCGGCTAGAGAGTCGACCAGTGGTGAAGAGGATAAGGGTTTTGGTACCATTTGTTTTACAGTTGTGTGGATTGGGTGAGGGAAGGGGGGGGGGGGATTAGCATGATAAATTTGTGATTTGAATTTTCTTATCCTAGCAATGAAGTCCATTGGTTTATGAATCACTGTACTGTATCCATGTACTGTATAGTATATAGGGAATTTTTGGCAGGGGCAGGAGGCTCTCCTGGTGTGTCATCACATTTTACAGGCTGCCCAAATTTCAATAATTCTCAGTACAATCACATATTATTATTTTACAGGCTACCCAATTGTCAACGATCCACTGTACAATCACACAGTATTTGGGCCAAACAAGGCAAAGGGTGGCATTGTGGGCAAGACTGACGAACAGCTGATACAAGACCTAATCAAGATTCACAATGCTGAGAACTGGCTTGGAATGGATGGTGATGCTGAGTACTCCATGTTTAAGGGTCGTGATAAGACAGACAACGAAGATGAAGGTCAGTCTATTTACTGTATCTTGTCATTTTACCATTGCAGTGATAGTTTATGGCTCTGAAACTTGGAGCATCACTGAAACACTCAGAAAAAAAATGAAATGCTTTGAAAACAACATCCTTAATAGCATATGTGAATTAATGTAGTTAGTGATGAAGAACTACTGTAAGCCATTGCAAGCGATATACAAGAAAGGTAAGAAGTTTAACCCCTTCACCATGGGGCACCACTTTTAATGTTTTATTTGGGTAAAGCCAGATGTTTCATCCAGCTCAGAGGTGAAGCCCATACACAAGGGATTAACCAGGCAGCCTCAGACAACAAGCATGAGAGCAGTGCATCTAAGATGGAAGGGCAGGTGGTCAGAGCAGCTAATGATCAAACAGTAAAAAATGGTCTGGTGATGGAGGACACCCAAGAATTAAGTGGAAAGATAAAGTATTGAAAATAATTGATTAAGGTGGATCTTACAGAAATCCAGGATTTGGCAGAAAATCAGACAGTGTGGCAAGGGATTTTTGTGTTGACAAGTGTTAATAGTCCTGTTGTGTTGACGTTATGTTATTGATACAGTTCAGTATCATTAGTTCAGATGCTGGCCATTGATATTAAGCATTAGTTCATGATCTGACTCGTGTCAGATTTGCCAAAAAAAAAAGAAGCTAAATTTTCAATTTTTCCAGTAAACTGTAATTGAAGAAGTAAAAATGGTGAAAAAAATTGATGAAACATTTAACAAAAGACATAGAAATAAAGTAATTTTTCACCTGAGCTTTTAGTGCCTGAGGCTGTGAATGTTGTCATTGTTAACAGTGTTCTATGTATTTAAGCACAAGCTCTCTCAGAATTAACTAGTACCTGTACAGTATTGTAGGATAAGTTGGCAAAGTAAGTTAAAAAAATTTCCTGGTTAAAGAGTCAAGTTACAAAACAAATTAACTAGACAACATTTCACCATTACAGTGGGATCACAACGCAATACTCCGAGCCCCAAAGAGAAGTCACCACCTGCTGCCAACTCTCCCAGGGTGACTTCCCCCCCAGCCCTTATTGCTCCCACGGGCTACCAAACACCAAAACCCATTGCTCCTTCTGCTGTGCATATTCAGCCATCGATGGTTGGGGCTGAAGCTGTCCCACCAAAAGCACTGAATGGTGAGACGCACGTTACATGTTCAGTATTCAAAGTAACCGACAAACCAATTGTATTCACTTGAAATTAATATGCAGCATTGTTCTTACTCTTGTTGTTTGTAATGTTAAGTGCTTCGGTTTCCAGGGTTGCAAAGTATGACTCACCAAGTGTTAGTTTCTTCTTGCAGACAACTTTTAAAGATTTAGACATAGAGCACAATGTCCCAAATCTGGTAACCTTGGAACTTAAGTATTCTTAAATTGACAGTTTTGGGTAATTCTTGATTCAGTACATTATATTGTAGCTGATTGTTGATGGTGTATGATGCAGAACTTACCTGGTTTGTAACATGCACTACAATGGTCTACCCAACCACACTTGCTGATGAACATTTGTTATTAATTTATTCCAGAATCTATTTTCTGTTCATTCATTGTTGATAACATAATTTTTCTTTTGGTTATAATGTATTTAGTTGTGTGCTTTTGTTGTGCTCCAGGATGCAACAGTGGACTACTTGGGGGTGAGGCAGGAGGTGCTGTTGTATCTTCAGGAACTCAGACAAGTGAGGGCACCAAGGAGTATGGCTACCAGGCATGCCTAATGACCATTGATGAGCACTGTTATGAGTGCAAAGTGAGGTACCGTGACCCCAAGCCTCGGGACCTGGTGATGTACCTCCATGCTCTTAAATATGCTGTAAGTTGTCTTATTTACTAAAAGGTTTACCATTTTCTTAAAATGGGATTTATATGATTCAGCCCATTTATTTCTGCTCTCATAACTATACGGTACTGTAGGTTTACTTGTTCACTAAAAGCAATTTACCTCCATTTTGTCTATGCTTCATATTGCCAGGCTGCAAGGATCTTGTTGAGTAACTACCTGGGTAAGAGCAGCACTACTATGATCTGTTGTGGTCTATTATGTAAAGTTGGTTCCCAGTTGCTTACACAGCCATTGTTCTCTGTTGGCCATCTTGGATTTCCCTGGAACGACCAGGGCCGTCGTTAGGGGTGGGCTTCCGGGGCCTTGACCCCAATTTTTTTTTGTCTAGCCCCGAATCTTTTCAAGAATTAATGATGTTTTATATTCAGGATTTACTTCCATCCATATCAAATGAATTTTATATGTGTCCTTAAGTTATCAACCACTACTCCTGATGAGTATTGCTGTCACACAGTGCCTTGAGTAGATTGGAACAGCCATGGCAGTGGGTGTTAGAGCAAAACTGTGCAGGTTACCAACAATCTACATGCTTGTAATGTTCCAGAGTTTGCTCTCCACCACAGAGGGATTGCATAAGTTTCTTCAAAGGGAAACTGTGGACTTGGCCCAAGCACTGTATCTGTGTCTCAGAGAGGTGGTCAATCAGCCTCCTTGCTCCAGCAACAAGAGGCATTAGAGCGTCAAGGTCCTGACTTCTAATCCTAGGGAAGAGAGGCTTACAATACAATATATAGCCTCAAGGAGATGGAGTTTGCTCTTTCCCCAGGTCTTGAGGACATCCTTTATGCTATGCTAAGGCACATCGGGGTGCAGTTCAAGCAATTTCTGCTGGAACTGTTTTCCCATGTGGCAGGTGAGGCTACCTCCTACGTGGAAATGTGCCGTGGTTCTCCCATTCTCTAAGTCTGGGAAGGACCATACTTTTCTGCTGAACTTTAGACCAATTCCCTAACTCTGTACAACTGTAAAATTTTAGAATGAATGGTAACCGTGAGACTAAAGCTAGGATTCCATTTACGCGTTAGCAGTTGCATTAGCGTAAAAAATAGATCACATTTAAATGTATACAGTTGTTTCCATTGGTACGGTTGCATTTTCAGTACATGCCAATCGCTCTCTGTGGCAATTGAAAATGAAAACGCACTGCAAACGCTTGAATGGAATCCTAGCTTTATACATTATTTGGAATGTGGGAACCACATATCACCATCACAATGTGGGTTCCGAAAATTGCACTCCACAACAGATGCACTGTTAAGATTTGAATCAGAGGTGTGTAGAGCATATGCCGTGGAACATCACCATCTGACAGTATATTTTAATATAGAAAAGACGAACTATACAGCCTGGAGGTTTGGGATTTTAAAAGAGCTACATCACTGTGGACTCCAAGGATGTATACCCCATTTCCTTAAATCATTCATAGCAAACTGTGCCTTTCAGGTGAAAGTGGGTACCTCACTGTCCAGATCAGTTCACCAGATGGAGGGTATACCATAGGGCACAGTTTTAAGTGTGTCCCTTTTTGCCATGGCAGTTAACGGTCTCGCCCAATGTCTTCCACCAGAAGTCTCTAGCACACTATATTTAGATGATTCAGCAATTAGTTTTTCGTCATACCATCTATGTGTTGCTGAGAGACAACATCATTTAACAGTGAATCGGATGTCCCAGTGAGCAGAAGAGTGTGGCTTCTGGTTCTCAACTTCAAAGACCATAGCCATGCATTTCTGCTGGCTCCGGAGTCCTCGCCCTGACCCCGACTTAACATTATATGGTGCCGGCATTCCGGTGGTGGAGGAGACAGGGTTCCTAGGCCTGGTGGTAGATAGGAGAATGACCTAGATTCCCCACCTTAGGTCACTTAAGACGTCATGCTTGCAAGCCCTCAACCTTTGGAGGGTCTTATCCCACACGTACTGGGATGCTGACTGTAGGACCATCTTCAGACTGTACCATGCTTTTTTGGGGTCAAAGCTGGTGTGCGGATGTGAGCTGTACTCTTCAGCCACACCAATCAGGCTAAAGACCATCGATGCAATACATCTAGTTGATGTACCACCACTGGATATGCATCAGCAGTCCCTAATGGCTTGCTGCTGGTACCAAGTACAGCATCTCCCTAGATCTCCAACATGGGAGGCCTTATCATATAGGTCCATGGACCATAGATATACCCATCACCCATGCATTTCCCAATCCTTTGGCTTTCATGTCCAGGAGCTGACGGACAGATTATCACTTCCTCAACTCTAAGTGAAAGTGCCGATCGTGGCCCCCTGGGACCTACCAGAGGTGCACTTCTGTCGTTACTTCCCAGGAAGCAAGGCTGATGTTAATGAAGTGATGGCCAGGATGTATTTCCAGGAACATGCATCATGACACGATGACTCAATGCATGTTTATAAAGATGGCTCCAAATCTGATGCTGGTGTTGGGTTTGGATCCATCTTCCCTGATTTTAGCTACAGTGGGGGACCTCCACCTTTGCATTTATTTTTACTGCAGAGCTCTGCTCTATGCCTAGCCCTTAAAGGAATCAGTATCCATAAGGCTGGGACCTCCTGGCAGCTACAATGGGACAATTTATCTGTTCCCAATAAGTTGCGAGAGATTACAAAAAAGATCTGCCCTTACCCGTCTATGTAGTGGACACACTCACCTCGCCCACAGTTTCCTTATGGCACTATTGTGTTGGCTGCCTGGGGCCACTGACTGTGAGACACTTGCTGGAAGTGTCCCATTCATGGGGACCTGAGGAGTTGTTTTCTGGCAGAGTACTGGCAGGAGGATAGCTCCTTTTCTATCTCAAAGGTGCTCAGCAGGAGAAGTTCAGTGCCTGATGGTGGACTTTTTAAATTTTTAATTGCAAAAGAGGTGCTTTTGGATTGTGTTTTTAGTAAATACATGATTTACTATTACCACTGTATTTCAATTTTGATATTTGAACTTAATGCTGCTTGATTTTATTTTATTTATATCATAGTTTTAAATTATGCGTTTCATTTTCAGCGTCAGATGGTCACAGGCTGTAATGCCGGACATTTTACCCAGTCTATCAACCAATCCATCATTTCTGCTCTATAGTGTAAAATGATGACTGTGACAAGAGATGATGCATGGTATATAGTGTGTAATTAGACACTTAAGGAATTGTACTAATAAAAGTAATAGGAAAATATATCTCCCAGTGCTTTTTGTTTTAACTTTACAATTGATAAATTTGTTACACGTAAGTTTCTTAGTGAAATTCTATTTTTAGGGACCTGGATGGCAGTTTGAAACCAAGTTGCCTGATTGGGCCAATGAGGAATGGGGAAACCCAGAAGAGGAGCAATAAATGGAACCACAAATGAGTGTGACAAGACAGAATCAGGGGATTAACATAGATCATACTGCTGTAGGAAGACCTTTGAATGATGTTTTGCAAAGGACCATTTACTCAAGAGACATCTGTGGAGACTTGACGCTTCATGAAGGTGCTATTTTGACAGGATCTGGCCGATGAATGGATACTACACATGTAACCGTGAACTGTCAACCTCCGTGTTATCTTGATCTGTGTTTTTTTTTTTTTTTTTTTATGTAACCAATACATTTGTGTTACTAGGAACTCCTAATTGACTACAGTTACTTCAGTCATGGTGTTGCCTAAGTATTCATGTACCTGCAGTAGAGCTGGGCAATAATAAGTTCGCAGGCAAGTTTTCCAGTGGCAAGATTTAAGATTTTGATAATGAGTTGCAGTTTTATGAGTATCTGAAACTATCACCACCTAAAGAAACATTTCTTGTTTTTCAACTCATAAAGAAAAGGATAAACTTGGATAGGCACTTTCAAATTACAGATGAAGCTGTGAAGAATGTTTTTTGATGGCAAATCTGCTACCTAGTATATATTAAGTTTAAGCACTGTAATTTCCTGTATTGAATGGAATTAGTTATAGATTTATTTATTGACAATTCTTTCAAGACATAATACATTATAGTTGAATTTGGGAAAGCCATGCAGAGATACGGAAAAAAATAATTTGCTTGCTGTTTTTAAGATTAAGTATCGTATCTTGATGGCTTGCTCCAAGGTTGCCCTCACCCCTCAGTGTTGTATTGTAGCCCCATATTTCATGCAGTAAATTATATATATAGCAACTGACATAAGACCATTGTGGTACATGAAAATGAACTCTATATGCTGATATGTTAAATTAATATTAATAGTAACTGAGAGGCAAGGAATAATGTTTAGTTATAAGGACGTTCATATTAGAAAGTGCTATACAGTACATTTTATACAGTCATTTAGTTTTGTTAAATTCAAGGAATGCAGTCAGTGTTCAATTGGTTGTTATATGAGTTTTAAAGGACGTGAACTAATGTCTGGTGTTGCTCCGTGCTGCGTTATAGTCGCGAGGGCCGTCACATGAGAGTGCTGGCCATATGTCCCTCGGGTCCTCGATGCTGTAGAGCAGGTTCTACGAGCAGTCAACACACCACTCGGCAACACCAGTGCTACGCCCTCTGCCTGTGCTAGGCATCTACAGTAATGAAGCTCGACTTCTACCCAAACACTGACTGCCGGTGATTGCCATGTGCCGTCTGAGTCCCTGCAAGCAGGGCCGTAGTGAACTAGTGGAGTTTACATGCTTGGCACTTTGTTAAGAGCACGTGTTATGAAAAAATACATTTAGCGTTGCATTTGCATCTAATTTTTGAAGAATCTGACTTTTTTGTATGATACTGACAGTCATGAACTGTGTCATTAGTTATATACAGTAGATGAAGAACAAAATTAAGAATCAGAAAAGTAAACAATAAGATTTTCTTGATTAGCAATTCATGCACAGGTTCTTATGCCTCCTATGCTTAGTTGAGTCATAGAAGTCTGTTGTACAAATTGTTTTACCTTAGGTTAAGGTGATATGAAATGTATCATGCATCTTTAATGTAAATACAAGTGATCTTGTATATTCGCCATAAACCTGTAGATATTTGTTGAGCGGGTAGATAACCGTTTCTTCTATGGTATTCAATCTTCTGTTAGAGCTATAGCTAAGTCCTTAACTCTGCATTTTAGATGATACTTCTGCTTTTAAAGTACTACAGTACTTGTAGATAATGACTAGTTGTGTGTACTGATTGAGGTATAGTTCTCTTTACTTTTTTATTTTATTTTATTTTTTTTTACTTGCACAACATTGTACCATTCAGCAGATATTGCTGCCTGACTTTTAATACAGTATTCATGAATATTGTTTCATGATAACAAAATCAGCCACAAAAGTATTGCAATGTGACTCTGAATCCCCTGTCACATCACAAATGGTTCATTCCCATTTCATGTGGCCTCCATACACTAAGAAGATAGTCGGAGGATGTGCATTATTTATGCATCTCAGCGCAATTTAAGTGAAGACAGATACATGCTGGGGGAAATTCAAGGGCTCCAAAGACAGGAAAGAATTTCGACTCACTGTGATGTATCCGTGTCAGTTCAGTACAACTATTTTGATTTTAAACTATGACGATGTACAGGAATGATGAATGTCAAGCATTGTACACTGTGGTCAGATAGAGGCACAGTAAGTGTGTAAATTTCCCTAAAATGCAGCTGCAATAGGAAGCTTATGGTGCACGGGAGGATAAATTGTATACCTTGTGAAGAAACTTTCCTGTCTGGTTAGTGTTAAGGATTGTTAATTCTGATATATAAAGGAACGGGCCTCCCTACCATGTATCTGTTAGCTAGCTTCATGATGCCAGAGCTCAAAGCCATGTAAACTGGCCGGGAGTTGGCCATTAATATTAGGTTGGTATGCCTGCTCCGAAATATGCCTTCCCAACTTTTCTACTGGTTTCTGAGCCTTATACTGAGAATATTCTTGGTAACAAGCTCTTTCTCGAACTGTGCCTTAGATCATTGTAATTATGAGGCCGAGTTCTCTGCTGTAGTTTGCCCTGGCATCTGCAACTCACAGAAAGAGAGACATTAACTTGGCATTGAGACACTTGTATCATCTACTAAGTGTAGATAGTGTCAGGTGACTGAGGGAGCAACTATAGCAGAGTGGCTCTGGTGTACTCAGCCTTGGGTAGACACATCAGAAGGGTATAATAATTATTATAATAAATATTGATAGAATTGTTGCCTTCATTTTGTACATGATAGAGCACCCGGTCAATCATTTATGACCGTTAGTTTGTTTCGGCCCATCTGAAAATTAGACAAAAGTCATATAATGAGGACCTTCATTAACATTTCAATAAGGATTATTTTGCTATGTTTGAAAGTAAAAAATTAGTCTTACAGTACAGTACATGTAAAGACCATATTTGCCTGTATAGCACATAAAATTTTTGGCATAGTAACAAACTGTGAGGTGCTGTGGTATCAGGAAAAAATACAATCCAATAGTAGCAATAATGTGATTAGATGAAGTATTCCCACAGAAAATATTAAACTAGAGTTTTGATCGAGTCAGAGGAGCCAGGTAGAGTAAATTAATAACCTGTGTAAATAACGTTGCTTTAGATAATATTTTAACATTTATTTACAAGTATTACTCAATGTACGTAGGAAAATCTCTGGATAAGCGTCTCCCGCCATAATACACACGACTGTATAGCTTTGACTTAAGTCCCTACCTCGATATCCTAGACGTATAATTCTTAGCTGTTAAGGCATCTAATTAGAAAGTTTTGTTTATAGATTTAATATAATTTTAATGATAATGGGAGAAGGGACAAGCACATTAAGCTAATGATAGTCTGTTACCATTGTTACATACATAAGAGAGGTAAATGCTTCAAAATTCTCTGTTAAAAAAAATCTTTTATTACTGTTCACGTGAAGTATTGATCCCAAGCATGAGACTCGTAATGCTGATGATTAAGTAAAAGAACAGTGGTCGTCCTACCTACATTACCAGTATTCTTGACCTTACTCGGCTGTTTTGAGATGATACGGTTGTCCATACTGCTTCTGTATGCTGTTAGAGCAGTTCATTTAAATGGAGCATTGTGGAATCATCCTTAAACTCAAATTAGTTATAGGGTCTTCTTTAACTCAGTCACTTCCATGCGTTGTTGTAAGACCTCGGTAAAAACACACAGTCGCATCCAGAATAGACTTCGTAGAGGGGGCGGATCTTACCGTAGAGAACCAGCTGTTCACAGGCAAGTTGGCACAAGTTATGAATATAAAGTCTTTTTACTGAGATACCTTTAGCTCTCTTGATGCATATCAGGTTAGAAGGAAATAGTTTAGTACTAGAAATTTTATGATGGAATGTAAGTGCCTATTTTCCTGCGAATGATTTTATTATCTTCTCTGTAAAGAATAAGTCCATATAATGCTTCTTTCACTTTATACTCCTACTGTTATTGCATTATAGTTCTCTGCCAGGTGGACCCGTGTGCCCCCACCCTACGTAGGGGAGCCTTGGATGTGATGTTGTTTACTCTGTTCAGCAACATTCCCATCGGACCAGCTCAGGAAGTCATCCCCTTCACTGACGCTTGCCCAATCCTTCCCAAACCACCACCAGTTTCCTCTTTCTCTATTGGCGATTCACAAGTAAACTATTCATTTGTGTCATTACTGGAAGAATCGTTAACTTGAAAACTGAGTAGTGTTAGGCTTTTTAGAAAACAGGCGAGTTGAATATAAAAAATAGGTTAAGTCACCTGACTTTGTTGAAAAGAAAACTAACTATACCATAATTTATAACATCACAGATTATTTTAATTATAGTCCTTTGAAATGGAAATCAGTTAAGAATCTGAATTTTGTAAACTAATTATTTGGGGACAGCTCACACTACTTACCGAGATGAACAGAGAGCAGTATTTTTTTATGGGTTACTCATCATCATGTCATTGCCCTGCTCTTTGACCCTCATACATAAGATTTTTCTTTTTTTCTTTTTCCAGCAGAAGAGGGAAGATAAATTATTTTCAAGAGTGTAAGGGGAGGGTAGCGTCAGTCTGGTGGCTCCTTCATCTGTCAACCCTTCTTCCTCCTGTTACATACATATATGGTCTATGGTGTGGTCAAACTTCTCCAAGGTGTTTATTCATAATATTTATTCTGAAATGGATTCTTAGAAAAGTAAAGTAATTTGATTTGATTTATTCAGAATCTGAAGTTTTGAAATTCACATCATATTTACTAAAACAACAGTACAATACAGTAGATACAAGGACAGGTAGAGTAATTAACAGTAGATACAGGTACAGGTAGAACAATTAATAGTAGATACAAGTACAGGTAGAGTAATTAACAGTAAATTCAATTGCAGGTAGAGTAATTAATAGTAGATATAAGTACAGGGTACAGGTAGAGTAATTAACAGTAGATACAAGTACAGGTAGAACAATTAACAGAAGATACAAGTACAGGTAGAACAATTAACAGAAGATACAATTATAAGTAGAGAAATTGATAGTGGATATAAGTATTGTATATAGGTAGAGCAATTGACAGTAGCAGAATGTTGTTAAACTCAAAATTAGTTTCTAATGGACTCGGCAATTAAAGATAGAGGTTTAAAGTATGATGATGATGATATGAATTACAGATCTTTTTATGTTACATGAAGATGAAAGTTGTATTTTGGCACTTCAGTTACCAACACCACGTACACTGTATAGGTATTAATATCACTCGGGAGAAACTATGATTTCAAAATATGTTGAGGAAAATTTGTTTTGTTTTATGCTGAATATTCCATTACATTTTAAATCTCGTAAGATATGTTTTATACCAAAAATTGGAATTTAAATGAAGTTGATGGTGCACTTTGCTGAAAATTTTGTATTGGAAGATGATAATTGAGGCCCCTGCATCATAAGGGTAGCTCACACCACCCGGGCAAAACCCATTTTTGTTGGAAAGCACTACTGTCTGTTTGGCCTAGCTCTATACGATGGTAGTGGATAAGATCTCTTTACTACACTGTAAATAAGGTTGAAAGCCTTTTGAAAATAGGGTGTAACATCAATTTGTGGCAGACAGGATAATATGGGCTTGGCTTTTGCGTCGCCAGGTGCTCTTGTCCTGTCAGTGAGTGAGTGAGAGGAGCGGGCGACAAATCACAGCGGCCGGCCCGCAGCCTCCTCCCCGTCTCTGCCCTTCCAGCCAATGAGTGCGGAATCCCTCTCTCCCTCTCCCTCAGTTCTCTTTTGTTGTGGTGGCATCTACACTCTGATATCGATTAAAGTAAAAAAAAAACATAAGCTGGTGGGAGTTTTGTTGCCTCAAGTCAACAGGCAACAACCCAGTACATTACTTCATGACGCACTACCTACCTACTGCAAGTACAGTCCGTTAGCTTTAAAATGCATAAAAAATTAATGCTGTATCTCAAAAAAACAACAAAGTTATGCTTGTTAGACGTTGGAAAATTTTTGAACACGGTTTTCTCGGTTTCAAATTTTGGCGCTAGTAACCCTTACTATGCTGGGGGGGGCCTCAGTTGTTTCATGCTATAAATTTTCACTTGTATCCATCCTTTCTTAAATGGCAGCACCGAGGGAACCCATAGATCACGTACGTAGTGTTCAGGTGTGTAAACAGTTGCTTCAGTTTCTTCTTGGCTTCATTTTGTGGGGGGACTGTAATGCAGTGAGAAGATACAACCCTCGGATCACCAAAAACTTTGGGTTAGTTTTTCTGGCTTCATCACCTTCATCCTTATTTTATAGAGGAATGGATCATATCAAGTTAACCTTCCCTTTTGTCATTTTGTGGCTTAATGTACTCCAAACTCTCTTGTTATATTTTTAATGGATTACTGTTCCCTGTATTAGGTTTTCTACTGCATTTTAAAACTTTCACATTTATCACCTTTGAATTGAGTGAAATTATCTATTTAAAACTTCATGTTATTTTTTATTTATTTATTTTTTTTAAAGCTGTACTTAAACTGTTGCGAGCACAAATTGGGGACAGGGTTGATTTTTTTTTCCTATGTAAGAAATTTTAAATTTGTTATAGCATTTAAGGTTCTGGTTGTGTTTGTGGACTTGTAAATAGTTGTGGAAATAATACTGTACAGTTGTATAGCAATATGTACTGTACTGTTTTGGTCAGAAGGTGGAAAGTTGTGTGTCCCAATAAGGATTGTATAATTCTTTCCTCTGTTGTTTTATTGTTTTATGACTGTGCGAGTGTCAATCCGGAGTAAATTTCAGTGTTACATATTAATAAAGGTTTGGGTGCTAAATTTTGTATTATCTCTTCATCCTTTATCTTTACAGAAAATTCCTCTGTGGTAGAGTGTGTTTGCTACAGTACAGCAGCCCTTACCTCATAGGAGTACAGGTATCCCCCGATCTGCGATGTTCCTATCTACAATATTTTGCACTAACAATGCTGACATATTAAGACCACTCCCCTATTTGCGATGTAAACAGACTAGCATTAATGGTATTCATCGTCCCGCCATCTCGCATCACTCGCTTCGTGTCGGCTGATGTGTCATCTACCCGAATGCTGCCTTGTGGCCATCTGGTGAACTACGGTCCAGCCATTGTTTCTTGGATACATGTGTGTACGTAAATGAAGCTCAATGTTTATCGGTTATCATCAATGTTGTTATCTAGCATAGATTTTTTTCTATGGTTTTTTGGTGACTATAAAGTGCTTTGTGAGGCGAGCAGCAGCAACCGGTCTCATTTTTATTTTCCTTTTTTTATCATTACAGTTACAGGAAATTACAAAGTTTAACAGTGAACTGTACTAAATAGGTATAGTACATTTTCTCTGCTTTAGTGACTGTGAAGTGTTTTCCCCTGAGTGACTGTGAAGTGTTTCCCTGCTTTAGTGACTGTGAAGTGTTTCCCCTGCTTTAGACTGCTGTGCTGTGTTTCCCTGCTTTAGTAACTGTGAAGTATTGTCTGCCTGTGAAGTGTTTCTTTTAGTGACTGTGAAGTATTTCTCCTGCTTTTTTGACTGTGAAGTGTTTCCCCTTCTTTAGCGACTGTGAAGTGTTTCCCCTTCTTTAGCGACTGTGAAGTGTTTCTCCTGCTTTATTGACTGTGAAGTGTTTCCCCTGCTTTATTGACTGTGAAGTGTTTCCCCTGCTTTATTGACTGTGAAGTGTTTCTCCTGCTTTAGTGACTGTGAAGTGTTTCTCCTGCTTTTTTGACTGTGAAGTGTTTCCCCTGCTTTATTGACTGTGAAGTGATTCCCCTGCTTTATTGACTGTGAAGTGAGCAGTGTAACTTTGAAAATGTCTGGCATTTGGAGGTGAAGCTCGACATTGTGAAGCAGCATGAGAGAGGTGAAGGGGCATACTACATTCCTCACACTCTTGGCCTGGTCCAGTCAACGGTGTCTACCATCAATAAGAAGGCACCGGAAGTGACGGCTGCAGAGCAGAACATGAACCCACTCTGTTTCTAGATTATTAAAGAAGCATGAGCCTATCATGGATAGGATGGAGAGGCTACGCTAAGAATAGATTCAAAACTAAGATCCAGCTGCTTGCCCCTCTCTATGAAGATATTCATGGCGAAGGCCACCAATATTTGGAAGAAGAAGCTGAAGGCAGAAAGCAGTGACGACAGTGTCAGTGAGACCTTAGCAAGGCCTGGGCAGTTCAAGAACCACACCAATCTCCACAACCTTCATCTAACTGGTGAGGCAGCCAGTGCTGACAATGCCCTCCCTCGCACTCTGCATACCCCCCTCCCTCGCCCTCTGCATCCCCTCCCTCGCACTCTGCATCCCCCTCTCGCCCTCTGCATCCCCCCTCCCTCGCCCTCTGCATCCCTCCTCTGCATACCCCCTCCCTCGCCCTGCCATCCCCACCCTCTGCCCTCTGCATCCCTCTCCTGCCCCCCCTCCCCCTGTGCTTCTCCCCCTCTCCTCTGCATCCCCCTCCCTCGCCTCCATCCCCTCCCCTCGCCCTCTGCATCCCCCCTCCTCGCCTCCTGCATCCCCTCCTCTGCCCCCCCCTCCCTCGCTTCCCTCTAGTCCCCCTCGCCCTCTGCATCCCCTCCCTCGCCCTCTGCATCCCCCTCCCCTCGCCTCTGCATCCCCTCCCCTCTGCATACCCCCCCTCCCCTCTCGCCCTGTGCATCCCCTTCCTCGCCCTCTGCATCCCCTCCTCCCTCGCACTCTGCCCCCCTCCCCTCGCCCTGTGCTTCTCCCCCTCCTCTGCATCCCCCCCTCCCTCGCCCCTCCATCCCCACCTCCCTCTCGCCCTCTGCATCCCCCTCCCTCGCCCTCTGCATCCCCTCCCCTCTGCTACCCCCCCTCCCTCGCCCTCTGTATCCCCCCCCTCGCCTCTGCATCCCCCCTCCTGCCTCCATCCCCCCTCCTCGCCCTCTACGTCCCTCCCTCTGCCTTCCCCCCCTCCCTCTCCTCTGCATCCCCCTCCCTCCCGCCCTCTGCATCCCCTCCTCTTGCACCCCCCCCACCCTCTGCCTCTGCATCCCCCCTCCCTCGCCTGTGCTTCCCCCTCTCCCCTCTGCCTCCCCCCCTCCCTCGCCCTCTGCATCCTCCCTCGCCTCTGCATCCCCTCCCTCGCCCTCTGCATCCCTCCCCTCGCCCCTCCCCTCCCTCGCCCTCTGCATCCCCCTCCCTCCCCCTGCATCCCCCCCTCCCCTCGCCCCTGTGCTTCCCCCCCTCCTCTCCTCTGTCCCTCCCTCTGCATACCCCCTCCCCTCCACCCTCTGTCCCCTCCCTCGCCCTCTGCATCCCTCCCCTCTGCCCCCCTCCCCTCGCCTCTGTCCCCCCCTCCCCTCACTCTACCCCCTCCCCTGCCCCTCTGCCCCCTCCCTCTGCCCCAGCCCCCCCCCCCTCGCCCTCTGCATCCCCCCCTCCCTCGCCCTCTGCATCCCCTTCCCTCTCCCTCTGCATCCCCCTCCCTCGCCCTCTGCACCCCCCTCCTCGCCCTCTTCCCCCCTCTCCCTCTGCATCCCCTCCCTCCCCCCTGCATCCCTCTCCCTTCTCCACCCCCCTCCCTCGCCCTCTGCACCCCCCTCCCTCACCTCTCTGTCCCCTCCCTCTGCATCCCCTCCTGCCCTCCTGCCTCCCTCCCCTCGCCCTCTGCCCCCCCTCCCTCGCCTGCATACCCCCCTCCTTCGCCCTCACCCCCCTCCCCTGCCTCTGCTTCCCTCCCCTCTGCTCTGCACTTCCCCCTCCTCGCCCTCTTACCCCCCCTCCCTCCTCCCCCTCCCCCTCCCTCGCCCTCTCACCCCCTCCCTCGCCCTCCCCCCCCTCCCTCGCCTCTGCACCCTCCCTCGCCCTCTGCACCCCCCTCCCTCACCCTCTGCACCCCTCCCTCGCCCTCTGCACCCCCTCCCTCGCCCTCTGCACCCCCCTCCCCTCACCCTCTGCACCCCCCCTCCCTCGCCTCTGCATACCCCCTCCCCTCTCCCTCTGCACCCCTCCCTCACCCTCTGCACCCCTCCCTCGCCCTCTGCACCCCTCCCTCGCCCTCTGCATACCCCCCCCCTCCCCTCGCCCTCTGCACCCCCCTCCCTCGCCCTCCCACATCCCTTCCCTCTCACCTCCGCATCCCCCTCCCCTCACCCTCTGTCCCCTCCCTACCCCTCTGCACTCCCCCCCCCTCCTCCCTCTGCACCCCTCCCTCCCTCTGCATACCCCCCCTCCCTCGCCCTCTGCACCCCCTCCCCTCGCCCTCTGCACCACCCCCCCCTCCTCGCCCTCTGCATCCCCTCCCTCGCCCTGCACCCCCCTCCCCTGCCCTCTGCACCCTCACCCTCTGCACTTCCCCCTCCCTCGCCCTCTGTCCCTCCCTCACCCCTCTGCACCCCCCCTCCTGCCCTCCTGTCCCCTCCCTCGCCTCTGCACCCCCTCCCTCACCCCTCCTGCATCCCTCCCCTCACCCCTCTGCATACCCCCCCCACCCCTCGCCCTCTGCATCCCTCTCCCTCCCACCTCTGCACCCCCTCCCTCGCCCTCTGCACTCCCCTCCCTGCCCTCTGCACCCCCTCCCTCGCCCTGCCATCCCCTCCTCACCCTCTGCATCCCCTCCCTCGCCCTCTGCACCCCTCCCCTCCCCCTCACGCCCCCCCTCCCCTCGCCCTCTGCACCCCCTCCCCCGCCCTCTGCACCCCCCTCCCTCACCCTCTGCA